GAATTACTTACCCATTCGGTGTTTGAACTTCTCACTTTTACAACAATAGACGTTGGTGAGTTTCAACTTTCTCAAGCTCCGTTTGGCTATCAGGTTTGCACCTACTTGCGTCTTTGGATACTCGAAAAATGCAAATTAAAGAAAAATTCACATCTGTTCAAAAATTAATAGACGAAATCAGTCATACCTAAATAATTATTCCATTGTTTTATACAATGTTCAGTTGCAAGTAGGAGATTAACAATTGCGGGTAATAAATGCTTGGTTCCACATAAATGTTTGTTCTTGCACTATGTGCTGGTAACCTGGAAGGAATCGGACTTGATGTGGACACCTTGAACACGAATATGAATTGAAAACAGAACTTTATTTGAAAAAATAATAGTGCCATTATGAACCTGAGAATAGATGGATTTGTCACTAACTCGATTAAATACATAACCTAGAGTTTGCAGTGACCGACTTTTATAACGTGTTTCTAAACCGCAGATATAGTGTCCGCTGATAAGGAATAGTCAAACAACAGTGTGAAAAACAAACAAAAATACTCAAAGATGAGTCCTTGAGAGAATGGGCTTCCCAGGATCAAAGGTATAATAGTAGTCTTATAGACTGTAGTGGCATTCGGCCCTACCACCAGACAATATGGCAAATACACATTCCACATTGAACGCGGAGAAATACACAACAATGGAGAAATGCGGGAACAATGAGTGGGAATTAATCGGAATTGATCGGTGGCATGGCTCGGCCACGCAGGCGTGGTCCCTGCTCACTATCACCTTATATATTTTATTCATATGAAATATATTGTTCCATCTCTAGCCTGAAATTCTTCTCCTTCATCTGTTGGTAATTGTTAAGATGCAGTGAGTTGGTGTAGAAGATGATGTGATTTGCACGTGAGATCATAACAAATCCACAACTTCGGGATTAGGTCTATTATTAGAGCAGCACTAATATCAGAGTAGACCATAATTCTACAGACTAATCATTTTATTGACATGGTTTTAACATCCACATTATGGTTATGAGGCTATAATTCTTAAAGCTATGCATGAACTAGTTTGTTACTAACCTTGTGCATGTTTTAGCAGTTGTGAGTATTGTTAGTAATCAACCCATGAAAAATAAAATATTGTTAAAGATTGGTCTACGGGTTATTTGAGGGAAAAATTAGATGTATTGTGATAATTTGCAAACGGTTTCGTTTTGTGACAATGGTGGAAATTTCATGAATTTCGTATGGGCAACCGACAACGATTAGTTCGACACGAGTGTAGTTGTGATGGATATGTTCTAAACTCAATTTTCTGATAACATATAGAACCAGTTATTCTTACTGGTGCTCATAGATGGAGGGTTCGAAAATACTGAGCACGTCAGCTAGTTGTAAGTATTGACTTAAACAGAAGCTATAAATCAGTCCGTTTGAAATAAGGTTTTGAAGTAAATACCACTTAGATACTTCGAATAAAGATAACGTACTGAACTATATTTCCAGTTAATTAAGTGCTCACAAGTTGAAAAATGTGAGTGTTGGTTATTGATCATCGTGGGAAGAAGGATGGTAGCCAAGTCGGTCAGCCAATTTCTAGGATAATGGTATGACATTTTTGTCAGTGTTTCTACAGATGCAACAACGATTCATTTGGCATAAAAACCAGCCACCAAACCGCTTATCAAACTAATAAAGTCCTACGAAACTTACTAAAGAGGTAACTGATAAGAAAATCCACTGGAACTGTCAATGTTGGATAAAGATAGCTTCAGGAAAAAGACACTTCATTTGTGGAAGTAATTTTCAGTCAGCACACTGGCTGATTTTGTTTTTGGCCCCACTGTTTATATAAACCAAATTATGCCAACCAAAGTAGTAAAAATGTTTGTGGGGATGTTAAGAAAAATATTTGAATAACTACTTATATTTTTGTTGAATTTTGACTATTTGTAGGATTTAGTATTGTTTTAAACGTTGAATACTGCTGATGGTACAGAATATGTATACATTTGTTGACTCCGCGATGTTAGCAATTAAAAATTTATTCGAATAACGCTAAGGAGCTTGAGTTACATGATTATCTTATAGACCGCAGTAGATAAATACTTAGTGCATGATATATATATATATATATATATATATATATATATATAACCATGACAGTGAGAACTACAGACAAGCGCTGAACTATTGTTTAGTCTAAAATGCTTCACTCAAAACCACACACATTTTCATACTTTAACGTTTTCATATGAAACCACTGAGTATATATTGTTGTAAAACTAGTTCAGGAGTGATATTTATAAAATATAATACCAGTCTAAATGAACATAAAATGTTTTCTGTTATTAACTAGTGTATCATCTAGCGAACTAGAGAAACCCACCTGTTTTGTTATCAGAGCTCGTCGTTACTTCGAGTATTCGCTGTTTGGGTTTATAGAAAGTGTTTGCAAGGATTTGTTTGACATTTTCATCCAATTTTTTCACTATTATTCTTTCGGCAGAAAGAGCTAGAAAAGTGGTTTATTCCACAGGCGTATGCTGCACACAACTCACCTCAGCCGAAGATTATTTGTTCGTTTTAAATCACTCCTCTGTTAGCTGTTTTAGGCTTGTATTCTTCTCTAGTGGTAAATCGCTTATGTATTTAGTATAAAAACTAATATAACACTAATTCACCAAAGGCAAAATATCTGAGAAGGAGGGTAAAATACCACACAAGTCTATTACTATTTTGGTGGCATTTATATTTTTTTCAAAAAGTTAGTAAGATGGTACCTAAAGACTCGATTTCCTTTTTTAATTTTTGTTGTTTAGATACACATCTGGAGTTTCTCTATCCTAAAGTATGCTGCCATACCAAGTCTCGGAAACTCTGATGATGATGTATGATGAGGGCAACCGTAGCTTGTAGATAAGGCTGTCTGTTACGTACCAGAAATGTAATGACGAATGTTCTCTACGTGCGGGACACTGCTTGAGGAGTTACTGTCCTTCGGCCAAATTCAAACGATCGTCCGCAAGACTACTTCCAATCTGCAGGCGGCAAGCGGAAAACCAACTGCCACATGCTGTATAAGGAACACTTACCTTAACGTGGATTTATTCGGACAAATATGCTAGACAGAATTGTTGATATAGATCTGTTAGAATATCATAAGCTGCTCGTTGATAAAAGCGAACGATTAATGGAACGTAGCGATAAATTGGCATGTAACTGTTGCTTAACAAATTACCACAAATAAAACGGCTAATGATAAGACTGTTTTCCCAAAATCATGCTAAATAGCCACTGGGAGTTTAAGGTTGGAGTAAAGGAATTTAATCACATTATGAGTTTAGGTATAGTCAGTACGTATAACAACACATAGGCATCCCCACTGCATATGATCTCTGGAAAGGATAACGATAATCGGCGTCCACATGGCGATTATCGAGAGTTTAACAAATAAACAAACTAATAATTCATGGATGAATGTTCGGTTCCTTTGTTCTGTTGATGATCTTAAGTACAAACAATATTATTTTTTGAATGGTTCACCGTCACTCGAAAATGCACAAATTAATTCAAGTGAGTTGGTTGGCATACGACAACTTCCTGACCAACATAATTCAAGTAGTAAAGGGAACTTAAGAAGTAAATAAAATACCAACGTAGATGATTCTCATCGATTATTGCCCCCTACTAAAGTTGAACGGGAAGGACTTGACCTCCTAGCTTGTGTCGAAGTCTCACCACACGAGTGACAGATAACCTCGATCATTCTGTTGTGATCACAAGATGACTGGGTGGAATTCGTACCCTCAATAGAAAATAGCACTTAGCAGCATTAGAAAATAACAGGATTACAAGGCGGAACCATTGATGTATTCCCCATCTGTGGCAAGCAACTAACTGATAAGATTTCGTAGGTCCTGCACGTGACTGTTCGACGTTCAGAGAACTGCATGATAGGTGTTTTGCCTTTAGCCTAGTGACATATCATTGGTCCTACAAAGACTCAACCTTCTAGGAGACTTCTAAAAAATACTTTGATGATTAATTGGTTAACATTGCAAAAGATTGGAGGAGGAAATTACGTTATTGCGAGCTACGGAGAATGAAATTTAACCCCATCAAACGAAACATTGTGGATCAGAGCTCCAGAATGTTAATGATCTGATACTTTTACTAATAAACGTGTCATATATTAAGACATGGAATAAAATTTTCTCAGAATGTAACTCAAGTTAGGAATAAACTTATAAGTACCTTTCTGAGAAGTTGGTATCCTGAACGGAATACAGAATAGTTATTTGTCTGCTACAGTACGTCTGAAGCGAAGGAAATCTGCCATGATCGAACATTCAGTACCGCTTTAAGTCAATAGCCTGAAAATTTGGGAGGCGTTTAACCAATAACAATGTCTTGCAATCATAGATATTTAGGATACTAATTGTTTATTTTCACCCGACTATTCGCACTCACACTGACATAAAAGATCTAGCGAATTATAATTCACGTAACCAAATGAATGAAATACGAGTTGGTTTTGTTAAACGTAATAAATGTAGTTCAGTAGTGGATCTATGGAAATGGACTAGATTGTAGCGTGGTGTCGAGTTGAGCTTGACTATGAACACCGCTACAAGACAACGTGCCAATAGACCAATAAGATTCCGGTAGGCCAAAAATCAGAAGGCAGATGATGGTTGTAGTCGAGATGTATTTGTTGGCGATCTCGTAGTATCGAAATAATACCGAGATCGTGCCAAAGGAGCACAAGCGTGGTTACTGAGCGTAACCGGATTCGTACAAGTTCAAAGTCAACAGGAGAGTAAGTATAATGGCTGTCATTAGCACAGTTAAACAAACGAGCACAGTAAAACAGTCACTGGTACAATTAGTTATAATAATAATTGTTTTCATCGAACCAATCGTGTTCTGTTGACAAAAGTAGGTCACTACAAGATCGTTGAAGGTTTTTAAAACACATCGTAGTTCATTTTTCTAGGTCACATGTGCATTTGCCGCCTTACTTGAGAGCCACTCATAGAATGGTTTACTTGCTTATAAAAGTATAGCCTATACATTCTTATATCGATTGAGAATCGATGGATATTTCGCAAGCACACAGTGGAGATGTTGTTAATATCGCAAATTACTTGCTAAATGATTTAAAGGTTCCAATCATGCATCGTATTCATTATTTGTTTACAGAATAGCTATCAGATCTGGGAAGATTTAATTTCAAAATGTACCAAATTCCATTCAGCTCTAAAGTAAGATTTCTTATTTTTAAACATACCTTCTAGAGTTGCGACCCAGGCGTCATCTGCATTTTTGGATACATTTCAAAAAGTGGCGGATCTGGCTACAAAGACGCTTGGAGGCAGCAAAGAAATCGGTGCGTGTCTGACCCGTTACTGTATGCGCCAAAAAAGCCTAGAATCCAAAGTAAAATCCATGGGGAAGTAAGTACGGTTCGGTCAATCATGTACTAATCTTTTTCCAAATCAATTTTTGTATGGGTAAATTAATTTATAGCACTGTACATATAAACTTTTGTTTACTATTTACAGGCCTGGTTCGCCAGAAATCTTTTTCAATCATAGTTTAAGACTCTTGTTTCAAGTCTCAATGGTTCCTCAATCTCGACAGTACGACTGTAATTTACGGCACTATTAGTCGCAGTAGGATTTTAGAGATTGTCTTCCAATCTAATGATTTTCAAAACGCCGTGGTTTGTCAATCCGTACCATTTTACTACATGCCTCCTACTAATATGCTGCGAATTTTTTTTCACACGGACAATTTATTGTATTGGTACAAGGAGGCACCAAATACATATGTGCCACACGAATGTCAATTGATTTGTGTGAGGGCTGTGATACTGCCCGGGTGCCGAAACCTAAGCAGGTGGTTTTCTTAGGGGGCCGCACCCCGAGCCTTCGACCTGAAGATATGACTCACAAGGCAGTGGAGCATCGTAAGGAGATGCAGTCCCATGGCAGCCGGTGACCAACGATTGCTTCATACGCCATTTGTTCCTTCAGGATGCTGGAGCCCATGTGCACCATTGGTTTGGGATCCGGTTGGAGCGCCGGACATTCGCTTTTCGTCCTCTCATTTTCGTAAACAACACCCTCGCCACGTGAAGGCAGTGAGTAGGACTTCCCTGGCAGGGGCTATATACGCGTGGCCATGTGAGGGCATTTCGAGAGGAAGAGTGGACTCTCCCCACTCTCGGCCGTACCAGGGCATTTGGGGGCTTGCACAGACAAACGCTCATATAAGTCGATATTTGCTTGCTCCTCAGATTATTAGGTTTATTTATTTTTGTCTGGTCAAGTGACGTCTTTCCAGGGACTGATTAAATTAAATTACTGGTCTAGAAACAATCAATAGGGACATCCAATCGGTGGGTAAGGTTGTGCACGTGCCTAACATGTATATCAGTACATAGAGTGGTAATGTTCTGGTATAGGCTACAGCGCTTACTAACAGTTTTGTGCGCTTAAATCCGAGCATAATATAAGTATAGTTTATAAATAAACCTGTATGTTTTTAGACGAAATTTGTTACTCATTTACCTTGAATTATTTTACTCTGCTGTATACAAAAGATATACAATAACTGTTTCTTTTGTTAACCTCTTGCCCTAATGGAAATTTGTATTATAGTTAAACCTCAGGACGATAGTGTTATTATTCTTATATACCTATCATATTTTTCTCTAATCTTCCGTATTTTAGTCATCTGGTCACTAGTCTTGCCAACCCTCTCAATTCGAAAGTAGATGAGTGGAAACGTAATCTGTGTCAGTTAGAAAAAGATCGAACTCGTCAAACTAAGAGAGTGCGTGCAGAATTGAAGAAAGCGCTTTCTGAAGCACAAAAGTGGGAGAAGAAGGCAGCTAAAGTTGGTGTTACTAGTGGTAGTGGTGTGGGACCCGGTGTAGGCCATGGTATTATACCTCCTGCAAAATATATGTGCTCCAATTCTGAATCAAATGCAATTAGTTTACAAACTGCTAAGGCTGCACGTGAAGTTGGAATCAAGAAAGAATTAGTTGAAAATACAGAGAAATCTGCGATGCGTTTATTACTACTTGAGGAACGAAGCCGGTTTTGTTTCTTCGTCTCTTGCCTTCTTCCAATACTTGTAAGTGGAATTCCAACTATCTAGAGTCAGTATTGATAATATTTATGTTGTTTTGCAATGTTCAGGTTATTTTATCCGTGAATAACTCAGTTTTAATTCCGATATTCTCTGACTGATAAATGAAAGAAAATTTAAATCTAGACGGTTGGTCGATTAGAACGTACATTTTTATTCACGCATCTATAGATAAATTTAGAAATATGGAATAATTTTGGATTTCAACAATTACTATCGCTAAAAATCTGGATTGTGTTTAAAATATGTAGGTGTTTGAAGAATACCATTTAGGAATACTGTAATAATGTAGGCTTATTCCGAGTTTTTATAAGATAATAAGGAAGAAATAAACTATCTCCAGAATGGTCGTCTTATATATTTATGTGTGCTTTATGTATTAACCAATGCATGACTTAAATACGTACGAATAATGCTTCTGTTTTAATTTTCCTGTTTGCTTTTGTATACTTAAGCACACATTTCTCATAGTCCCGTTTCGAATGACAACAAGGTAACTGACTGATGAATATTTGTGTCAAGTTGTAATTAGTAGCTGGTATGTATACCTCTTCCTGTTTATTACCATCTAAATTAAGTAATGCTTTTTGTTGAGAAATATTCAAAACTATATTTTACGGTACGTAATAAATTTACTTAGAAATTATGCGTATTATTTCTGTTAGTTTAATGTTCTGCTGATCGTGTGAGATAGGTGTACTCAAAACAATTTCGTCTTGTGATTAGGTAAATATATAAGCCAGTAATAGTTTACTAGCCTTCCTACTAAGCTACGAACTACACTTCTCGATAGCGTTAATACTACTCATATATCATGGCGTTAGCGAATGGAAAGGTGTTTGAACCTTCAACCTACACCTTACATGCGGTTAGTGTAATATACCAGGGTTTTTTTATAAAACAAGAAAATGTAAAACTTTTCATGAAAGTGCAGCGGTCAGTTTTCAAATGTCAATTGTTAAATTTTTCGTTGACATCTTACAATTTAAAAGTGTCACATTCTTTTTGCCTTAGGAGTGTCAATCAAGCATGTTGCATGAAATAGCCACTATGGATGAACTTATTAAGACTCTAACAAAAGAAACTGAGTTTCCAGATCAGTTGGTTGAAGACGTCGAGTCTATTGTACTGAGGATGGGACGGCGTGATTTTTCTGCTTCTTCTCGAGGTAGCAGTAAAATCATGTCAGTTTTCGTACCAGATAGTGAAGATAGGATGAACAACATAAATGAAGTTTTAGGAGGTTTGCTCATGACTAACGGTAATCGAAGCTATGTCAATTCAAGTGATACGGAGTCTGGTCGTCACGGTGCCGACATGATGTCACCATATCAAATTTGCCGCGACTTAGAAACGGTCGGCCGATGCAATTCTGTATGTGACAGTGCTGATATTTCTCTCTGTGGAGCCAGTTCACATAGTGGCAGTGGGGGAAGTAATTGTCCATCCCTTTTGTCCCCCTCACGTAGTAATGTTGCTCATTTGGGTAGTCGTGAATCAAGTCTTATTTCCGTGGATAGTGCAGCCTCAGGAAGTGGCAATGCAAATTCTACATATTCTATTGGAATGTCAAATACAAACATACCACATTCTGATCCTGTAAGTCTTTAAGCAATTGTGTTTTTTTTAGTAACTACTTTCTTGGTTTACGAGATAATTGCACTTTAAATTTACTGTTTTAGTTGTTTTAAGCAAAGTTAGCAAATAATACGCTTTGTAATTAGTTTGATAAATCTGTCGACAACTTTGTAACCATGTAAAAAACCTACTGATTATGTTATGACTATGAAGTTTTATAGTTGTAGTTTTCAATCAGGTATATTTCTAACACTTAGCAACAATTTCATCGCAAATAAATCTAACGATTCACTAACGTGGTTTAGACAGTGAATTATTGCAACCTACTTGTCAATCTCTGGTTCGTATGCTTCTCTTTGAGTCATGTATATTGGTTCGTGAAATTTTCCAACTCAAACTGAGTTAGGTTTGGTGGGGTCTGAACCTTCAGTCTTATGACTGACAGTTCAAACCTTGCTTCAGCTGATAAAGTTTAAGAAAATGAGTAGAACAGAAAGATTTATATTCTTAGTCCAATGAAACGCATTTAATTTTGAATATGAGTTTGCACATAGTAGCTGGTTGATATTGGTTTCGAATGAAAAATACTATCCTGACATCTTAGACCTTAAATCTAGTTTATTTCAATGCGTAACACCTTTCTGTTTAGCATAATCAATGACATTTTTTGGAAATAACCTTTCAGACGTCCTGTTTTGAAAATTGCATTATTTTCACTTGCATACCTATTTCATAAATTGCCTGACTACTGTTCACAGATTTTTGTTTGCACTCATCTAAAAAATGTGCTATTGAAAAAAACAGTCTGAAGTTGCTGCTTTATATATGATTGTAGTATGCAATTTATTTAATTATAGTAAACACAAATAAGGCCATGTAAATATTTTCTGCGTAGTCTAGAACTTTTCAATCTACTAAGTCGACCGGCGTTTACACCGAAGTCAACAAAAAAGTAGAATTTGAAAATGAGAAAATAAGTATTTCTGCATTTTGTAAATACATTTATGTATATGTATACTGATGATGTCCAATATAAAAAGTTATGGTCACTTTTTATAAGAGACAAAATATTTTTTAATCCTTGTGTCGGGAATGATTGATGTTTTAAAATGAGAAATTCCTTTATTTTATTCTAAAACTCTTCACCATTGTTTTCATCTGGCACAGTTCAATGCAATGCTACTGTACTGGTAATACATGAATGCGTGTTGGCTGTTTAGTCATTCAATTAAATCGATTATGGTTTTCTCTCAAAGTAATTAGTTGTAATCGAAACAGTAATAAAGCCTTGAAGCAAAATAAATTTAAAAAGCCGATTGCGTTACTGAATAAATTATAAAGGTAATTCAAAGCAAATTTCATTCGAAACGATCTCTTTCTACTCTTCTGTAGACTCATTTATTAAGCCACCGTAAATGTAATTGTACAGCTTTAGTAAATGAACTGGATCTGATTTTAGCTAGAATTTAAGTTGGTTAACAACATCGTATTACATTGCAAAGTGTGCTGGAATCAAGGCGAAAAATTCACAAATTGGAATTACCATTATTAGTTACTGCACAACGCTCAATCTTTACGCGGTGGCTTAGTAGTTAAGACGTCCTACTTCCATCCATTAGGTCCTGGGTCCGAATCCAGCTCCACCTACTTCGTTTCATCCAGTCGGGTAGTATCATTAGCCTTTACACTTAGAGTACCAACCACACCCAAGTACTTAGTAAGTGAGTTAATCAGGAAAAGTATGTGTTGAATTTCATAAAAGTTTGTATACTGTCCATATCATGTCAATTATACTCTATCCTAATTAATAAGAGATGATGATAATATTCATGGAAGGAGTAAAGGGAATTTCACATAACTTTGTAGCAAACTAATTTCAACAGTTTCTTAGGATTATGTAATGTCTTTTTTCTTCTTTTCGAAAACATCTTAACTATTGTTTACAAAATTTTGTTATTTACATTGTTAACTAAGAAGTAATATCAAGGTTCTTCATTGAAATAATTCCCACGACAATTCAAAACTCCGCCGTGTGTATGCACGCTAATTGGCAGTTACTTAGATCTAATAAGTAAAGTTTGGGTGTTGTAAAGATATTTCTTCACTATTGTCTGAGGACATTGATCCATTACCACCACAGATGCTATCACTACTAATACTAGTAGTAATACTAGTGATAAATACTACGATTATTTCACACAACATACAAATGACCTTAAAATGTAATATTTTTTTGTAATAAACTGTTAGCTAATTTCTTTATAATAAAGAACTTATGATCTGGTAATTTGTCTAACGTTGAGAAGTCATTACTTTATGCTCTGTATAATTTTTGAATTATTTTTATCGTCAAAAAATACAGTTTTATGGCTGTATTCATTTATACTTTTCACTGAACTCTTTTAACCAACGTATACTTGATTTTTTGGCCTATGTTTTTCTGCTTCAAGCATATTACAGTCAACCAAAGCACTGAAAGTTTTTGGTATATATATATATATATATATATATATATATATATATATATATATATGTATATATATATATATATATAGCAAGGATGATTATGCATTACAAGTTGTATTTTGATAACAAATGAATATTTGTGTTCATCAGTCTTTAGCTCGAACACATTGCTTTAATGGTTAAGAGTATCTTTGAATGTTGCACCCCATACATAGAGTGTATAAGTGTTTATTTACATCATTGTAACTCATTACTGTACACATTTGACGTTCATCAATTTGACTATCTACTACCTATCAAGGTTTTCACTGTAATATACTATCATCAGAGTTATAACAATAATTACGGTTCATAGCGCTGCTTATGAGGTTACACATGAGTTGTATTATTATAATTGCTAACAGTTCTCTGTGAATAAGTTTACTTTTTTCATGTTTACTGGTCAGTTAAAATAATTCACTGTAGTTAATTTTACAACGAAATCATCTCTGGTAAATTGGCAAAATTTTAATAGTGGATTATAGTTTTTTTTACTTATTTTCACTATTATTATTATTATTATTATTATTATTATTATTATTATTATTATCAATATTACGGCCTTGTAAGAATTTTCGTCCGAATTTTAACGAAAAGTTTCACAACGGTTTTAATGGATTTTTAGTTTATTTAAATGGTCTGCTTACATATAAATCACGCTGAATAACTTTTCGTTAAATATATATGATATAGAATAACTAACCCTTTTTGTGTATACAATCTTTCAAACTCACCTGTGATTGATGCTTTTTACCATGTAAAATATACAATTTCATTAAGTATTTATAAGTTGTCAATCAGTATATGTGTATTCCATACATTCTTTAAATTACTTATAAGTTTGTTAAAGTTCTTAATATCTATCAGTTTTTCATTTGTATTCTATGATAATAATATGTACTATAGAACTTTCAATAGGATTAATTATTTCTGGATTGAAAAACATGACAATATAGTTGCCAACGTAAAGTAATATTGGTAACACAACAGTTTTTATGAGATGAGAAATAAGTTGTCATCTGTGACAGGAACAAATGTAATTGAAGGTTGAAAAGTTAGACGGCAAACAAGCAAAAAAAAACAATGTTCTAAACAAAGACACTGTAAGTTATAATGTGTAACTCCAAATTGATGTTATGATTCTTTTATAATTCAATGGCCATCTGAAAATATGTTTTTCTTACGCTACAACACTATTCGTGAGTTCGAAACTCATGAGCAACAACAACTTTTGATCTAGAACAAGAAAAACATTTGTTTTATTTACACTGATCGATAAATATCTTTGTTGATGAATTACGAAGTTAATGTAATCTTGTGTATGTGTAATTGAACTACATGGTCCTATGTAGTAAATCAAGCTCAACATCAAAAAGCTTTTAAAAACAGACATTTTGATTGAATTAAAAGTTTTGTAAGTTGTCATTGTATGGTTTTGCTTATTTACTTTAGTCTTATCATGGCTTATGCACGTTTTTTTATTTTCTACAAAGAAATCGTTTGATTGAAGTCAAAGGTATCAGTAATTTACTCTTCTCTTACTTTGAGATATTTGTTTAAAATACACTTATTTCTCTTGTAAAATATTTAAGAATTAATGATTGATTTTTATTGAATTCTCTCAGGTCAGTTCATAGCCGCGATATCAATAAGTTTTACATATGTAAATTAATTTTTCATTGAAATGATTATTTTCAAATATTATTTTGTCGTTGATGGCAGAACTTAATTTTTATGAATATTCAAACTGAATACCTCTCGTTCTGTGCTAATGTTTACCTTATAAAGTTTCACGGACAATATCTTCTGGTCTCATCCATCCATCAAAATTAAGGCATAAAGTCACCGATTTTTGTGTATGTGTTATTCGTTCAAACTATGTTAGGTCCTTCTCATTTATTTTGATTTATGGGGGTTCTTACTTCTCCGTTATTGATGATATACAAACAATACAACTTCATATAATTAATAGGAAATATTGGGCCAATTGAACAATTTGTATTCAAATCTTAGTGCAGATGTTGAAACTGGGATCCAGGCACATTCAGCTGATAAGTTAAAAATGGGACGAAGCCCATGTCTTGAATTCGAAAATATGAGTTCTTTGCTTAAAATAATATTAGTGCACTCTACGTTACCACAAACTTATGCCACATAGGTTTTTATACATTTACTAATAAAGTAATGATATTGTTTGTGTCTTCGTCTAGATAATCTAGGGAAAAGTCAGTCATTATGGTAACGGTGTAGCTCTTTGTGGTAAATAAAACATAAAATATCATAAGTTCTGAACACTCCGATCGTTCACTTGTGTCTTGTCATCGATCTAACTTTTTTGTGTCTATACAGTAGTAGTTACACTTTATCCTATTGTATTACCTTCGTTAGTCAGTCATCTACAACGTAGAACCATGGACATATATACATTGGTTCAAGTTGCCACATCTCATTAGCACGACAATATGAGCACCAAATTCATAGAAGCCATTACTTCAATGGTAGTAAAATACAAAACA